AGAGAGAGAGAGAGAGAATTTTTAATATTTATTTTTTAGTTCTCGGCGGACACAACATCTTTGTTGGTATGTGGTGCTGAGGATCGAACCCGGGCCGCACGCATGCCAGGCGAGCGCGCTACCGCTGAGCCACATCTCCAGCCCATATAATTCTTAAAATGAACATATGGTGTATTATTATTCATATTTTACTTATGAATAAGCTGATACTTGGCATCTTACCCCAAATCACATAGCTCATTAGTGGTGGAGCTGAAATTCAAAAGTTAAGTTTATGATCCCAGAGATCATGTTTGCCTGCCTACACTTATTGTTTTCCATGGAAACCTAGTGGATTTTTCTTGATCAATCTAGTTCTTTTTTCCCCTCATACACCTTTGCATAGACCAGAACCTAATGGTCCAAACCCATTCCAACACTCCCTTATTTTACCTTTGACCACTAGGTGGAGATATGCCTATTTTCTCTCCAAAAGACAATGACCTATCTCCCCTCTTTGGGACCCCCAAGGTCCATATGACTATAGAACCAGAATCATATTAGCAGTGAGAAAAACATATAGAACTGGGATATGAACTAACCTATTTATCATAGTGTTCTCTAGGCTTTATTAAAGGTTTTAAAAAAATTTACCGTGATTTTAGATGATTGAATCAACAATCTGCTTACCTACAATAAATGCTATAGGTTTGGAACTACATGAATGTGGTTTTTGACCCATGAAGAACCACACAAATCTAATAATCGTAATAAAAATTATTTCATGAACATGAAGATGTGATGGGTATCTTAAAAATGGCCTTTGTAGCTTTTATAAGATTATATTTAATCTGTATGGACTATGTAACTAGAGTAGATGGAGATACTTGCTCTGTGAATGTATAATTGACCTTATTGGACTTTCAGTGATTCATTTACTTATCTAACAAATATTTATTGAGGGCCTCCAATGTCAGGCCCTTTGCTAAGTATGGTGTATACACTGGTGAACCAAATATCACAGCCTTTGGCTCACATTGTGGCCTGTGCCCTCGGTTTTTTTTTGTGTGTGTGTGTATTGTGTGTGTGTGTGTGTGTGTGTGTGTGTCTGGCAGATCCTCATTACTTGCAAATTCCATATTTGCAAATTCTCCTATTTGAGAAAATATATTTACAATCTCAAAATCAATATGTGTGGCTGTTTGGTGTCACTTGAAATGTGCCCAGAGTGACAAAAATTTGAATTACCCAATATTATACATGTTTCCAGCTAAGTCAAATGAGACGATGCTCTGGCTTCTCTTTTAGTATTACATTTTGGTGCTTTCTGTGGGTGATTTTGCTACTTAAGATCACCTCCATACTTGACCTGAAGTGCTGCCTCTATTTCTAAGTGCAAGAAGGCTGTGTTGGGTCTTTGAAGAAGGTACGTATGCCAGGTAAACTTGGTTGAGACATGAGTTTTACTGCCATGGGCCATGAGTTCAACACTAATGAATCAGCACCATATATTAAGGAGTCTGAACAGAAAACATAAATGAAACAACCAGTGGATGAAAGAAAATGTAACCAACAGCTCATAGGAGCATAGCCCTGTATTTCCCCCAGGAGAAATGGCTCAGTATCCATCAACTCAGTGTCCATGGAGACTTTATAGACTATAACTACTGTGAATAGCAATAGTTGGCTGTGTGCTTTTTGGAGTATGAATGGAACTCTGAATGGCCCTGAAGAGGGCTGGCATTGAGATATCAGTGTGGCTGCTGGCCCAGCTCTCAAATGAGATACATGCACACAGGATGGGAGGAGGGACACATGGATTAAAGTAACTACAGTGGGAACAAAGAAAGTTATGGATTTGGAGAGGATTTCTGATTTGTGGTCCAGATGTCCTCATATTGTCATCTGCATACAATGCAGGAAGGTACCGATAAGAATAGGAAGAGGGAGGATGGGAAAATACCTGAGTGTCCCCATCAATGCATACAGAGAAGGGAGATCAGGAAGAACGACTTGTGGACCCCACTAGTGGGGTGACTGAGAAAGACAAGATCCAGAACTAATGTGAACCAGGTTTCAGGGATGATTATGATGAGTGTTAAAGATTTCTTATCGTTGTCCCCATTATTTTTTAACCCCCGATTTTCCTGCCTTTACGGGGGACAAATTGCCTCAAATGACTTCAACAGAATATCTTACCTTATTTAGCAGAGCAAGAAAGATATGTGCAGCTGGGTTCCTTCCTGCAGAGCCCGAGTGGGAGAAGAAAAAAGAAAAGTAGGTGGTGGCAGCCAAGAAGGAGGGCAGCAGAAAACCCCTGAGGCCACCCGAAAAAGAGAAACAAGGGGGAGTCCTTCACTAAGAAGAAATGATACCCAGATAGTAGCCATAGGTAAATTAAATGATCCCACAGCCAGCTACACGTCTCTGCACACAGCCACACAAGAGGGCCTTTAAGAACCACCAGAGGAAGCTCTAGAGACAACAATGATCAGGGCTTGTGAAAAATGCTGGGGCCAACCCAGAGGGTTCTACTGATCCATCAGCCAGGAAACAAGGAAGAAGACTCCGGGCTCCAGGGAGAGGATAGTGTAAACACCTGTGGGAAAGAACACAGACCTGCTCAGAACTGCTCAGTAACTCCTTTGTTTCTCTATCTGGGGAATGATCTTCCTACTGGGAAGTGTATAAGAAAAAGAAGCTTAGAGAGCGTGAAACCCAGAGGGCCAGGAGCCCTGCAGCTTTAACCTCCTGATAAACGCTGAGATAGTAAAGCAGACAGGCCTGCAAGCTCAGATGAGCCAGACTCCAGGGATGGGAACGTGGGCAAAGAGAGAAACAAAAGATCCCAAAAGGCTCTGATGTAATTTTTTAAGAAAACGAGGGAAAGGTGGCATCCGGGAAGCATAGACAAGTTAGTGTTTATTCCTGGCTGAAGATTAGAATCTGTCATGAAGCAGTCAACTTCTCAGCCATAGGCATGAGCTGTGAGAATAGGCCATGCCAAAGTAACCACACTTTCTCCTTTTGAGGGACTGTCACTGGATTCACAGATCGGGGGGAGTTCACAGAGATCATGCACATGGATGTTGGCCAAGATGCTCACGGTTCCATGTAAATAAGATGGAAAACATGAATTTGATAGGACCACATTACAGCCATGGGCTGGATGACCCCTGACCTGGGGTACAGGCCAGCTGACAACAAAGGCCCCTCCTAGTTCCAGGAACACTGAGTTGATGGCAGTTTTGAGCAAGAAGCTGTTAACTGACTGAATTTCTATTGGTGTACTTGGCTCTRGGCATGCAAAGATGTGTTGTTTCCCCAAGTGAACCTGTTCCTCAGAGGTGAACCCCCGCAATTCCACCAAAAGGTCTCTCAAAATCTTGTACATGAATATTCACAGCAGCATTATTCTTAACAGTCAAAAAGGGAAATAACTCAAATATCTATAACTGAAGAGATAAATAAAATGTGTATGGCTACCTTTAAGATCTGTGCATTTCTCCAAATATAAATATCACCTAATGAAAGAACAAAAACACAGAATGTGGCATATCCACACAATGGAATATGATTTGGCATAAAAGGGAATTAAATGATGATACACCCTACAACATTATGAACCTTTATAACATTATGCTAACTGGGAGGAGACAGTCACAAAAGACTACACATTGTGTGATTTCGTTTTCATTTCTTTATATGAAAGGCTTTGAACAGATAAAGTTACAGAGCCCAGAAAGATGAGTGGTTATAGATGAATGCATAAAGAAAATGTGGTAAATACATACAGTGGAGTTTTATTCAGCTATCAAGAAAGAAGAAATAGTGCCATTTGAAGGAATAATAGATGGAAGTTGAGACCTTTATGTTAAGGGAAATAAGCCAAACCCAGAAGGTCAAGGGTCATATGTTTTCTCTTACATATGGAGGCTAGAGAGAAAAAAGCAAAAGTAAAGTTGGGGGTGATCACATGAAAAGCAAAGGGAGAGTGGAACAGAGAAAAGTGACCAGGTATGGGAGGAGGGAGGGAGGGGGTAAGTGATGAGGAGGGTATGGACTAAATTACAGTGTTCTGTTGTGTGCACATGCAAATACATAACAACAAGTCCCACCATTATGTACAACTATAATGCACCAATAAAAAATGTGGAGGGAAAAAAAAAGATTCATGGTTGCTTAAGTGGGTTCAAGGCAAACAGGGGGACTGTTAATAGACATAGACCTTCTTTTGGGGATGATGAAAAGTTCTAAAACTGAAAGTGGTGATAGCTGTTCAGCTATATGAATGTACAAAAATCATTGAATTGTGTGCCTTCAATGGGTGGATTATATGGCATGTGAGTTTTTTCTCAATAAATCTGTTATTTTTTAAAAAGTTGAACTACTAATGAAGATACATGCAAGTAATTATAGAGTGTTCTGGTTGGTTCCATATCAGAGGTTCTATTAATTTACACATTTACTTGCCAGTCTGCTATACTGCATGGCACATTCCTCTAAGGAAGGAACCCTGGATTAATCATCTTTGTATCCCCAGCTTTTAGCAGGTTCTTAGCCCACAGAGGACCATCACTAGATGTAGTTGAATGCTTGATAAGTTGGTAGCATGCTAGCCAGCAGTCGATTAAAAACTAGAGCAACCTAGCCTCAATAATGCCTCCTCTGTAAACGTATGCACTGAATATTTCCGTAATTCCTCATTTCAAATATCCACTTTCTAGCATTAAAATGCCAAAATTGATAAAAAAAATAAAAAATAAATGACAAGCCTATGCTTTTGCAAGCATTTAGTCAGTAATTCAGACAGGTAATTCAAATGACATGCAAACACCCTGGCAGCAGGAGATGAACTTCTTTACTAAGAAAAAGAGTTCCACAATGTTTTGACTGAAAGTGTGGCGTCCTTCATCTAGTTAATCTTTCACTATCAAGTTTGATTTTTCATTATTGCACCAAAATCCTCCAATTCCAAAGTAATCTTCAATCTTCTCAAAAAACTTCTGTCATGGTTTGGATAGGAGGTATCCCCCCAAAAGCGCTTTGTGTTAATGCAGGAATATTCAGAAATGATTAACTGTGAGAGCTGTAACCTAATCAGTCCATCCTAGTTTGAATGGAATGACTGGGAGGTAACTGTATGCATGGCTGGAGCAATTGGGTCACTGGGGACGTGTCCTGGAGGGACGCATCTTTCTTCGCATCTTTGCTGCAGCCCTTCTCTGCCCACTTCCTGACCCCACTGGTGAGCTGAGCAGCTTTCTTGCACAGGGCCCTTCCCTCATGATGTTCTGCCTCATCCTGGGCCCAGAGCAATGGAGTTGGACTGAGACCTCTGAAACKGTGAGCCCCAAATAAACTTTGCCTCCTTTAAGTTGTTCTTGTCAGGCATTTTGGACACAGTGACGCAAAGCTAACTAAAACAGCACCCATTGCCTGTTTGTTGGAGGTGAATGCCTTTGCAGATGTGCAATGGCATATGCTGCTTGAAAGAGCTCTCTGAGGCTCCTTGTTCTGTGAATCGTGGCTCTTCTGTTTCCATAACCTCTCCATGACTGAGCTACTGAATGAGAACTTAACAATTCATGTCCATCTGTAAGATAAACTTCTTTATTCAATATAGAGTGTAGCCAAGGAGTAAGTTTTCTTCTTTTACAATCCTAAAGGTGTTACTGTCCAAAGGAGTCTTGTTTCTTTGGAATTAAATTCTTAGCATATGGATTGTAGGAAAAGAATGAAAACTGAAACTTCACTGAGATGCTATTTCTCACTTCTCAGAGAGGCAAAATCCAAAAGTGGAATGACATACTTGTTGCTGGTGGAAATGCTAAATGGTCCAATCCTTGTAGAGGATAACTGGAAATAACTAGTAAAATTACAAACATTACCTTTATACCTAGCAGTTTCACTTCTAGGAATCTTTTCCAAAGATGTGCTCTCAAAAACAAGAAATGCATATATACAAGGCTTTTCATTAATAACACTGTTAAGTATTAAAAACTGTTTCATTAAATCAGGCAACAATCAAACCATCTTTTTTTTTTTGCCACTTCTTCTAAACTCTTTTACATGCATTGAAAGAAAATAGTGTTTCTTTTACTAATTCAGAGGCAAAATAATTTGTGATAGCAGTGGGCTTCCACCAACTATTTTCTTTATGTTAAAAAATTGGGGCTGGGGTCGTGGCTCAGAGGTAGAGCACACGCCTAGCATGCGTGAGGCACTGGGTTCGATTCTCAGCACCACGTAAAGCAAAATAAAGACACTGTATCCACCTATAACTAAAAAATAAAAATATTTTTAAAAATTGTGCTCACTGCTTAAAGGAACAATTTGAACTGGGAGCCTCCTTCCTGTATACCCATTCCTGACTCCCATCACCAGGTGGAGAAATAAGCCTTTTTTGCTACTTCAGAGACTTCCCAGCTAACTTCTAAAGATGTCTGAGCTGTCTTCACAGCAAAGGAAAAGGAAACAACAGTGTAAAGAGAGAGCCTACAGAATGGGAGAGAATCTTTGCCACTTGCACCTCAGAGCATTAATCTCCAGGATATATATATAATCTCCAGGATTTATATATATATAAAACAAATAACCCAAACAATAAATGGGCTAAGGAACTGAACAGGCCCTTCACAGAAGGAATACAATTGATCAACAAATATATGAAAAAATGTTCAAAATCTCTAGCAATGAGAGAAATGCAAATTAAAACTACACTGAGATTCCATCTCACTCCAGAATGACAATTATCAAGAATACAAGTAACCATAAATGTTGATGAGAATGTGGGGGGAAAGGTACAATTGCTGGTGGGACTGCCAATTGGTACAACCACTCTGGAAAGCAATATGGGGAGTCCTCAGAAAACTAAGAATGGAACCACCATTTGACCCAGTTATCCCACTCTTCAGTACATATCCAAAGGACTTAAAATCAGCATACTACAGTGACACAGCCACATCAATGTTTACAGCAGCTAATTTCACAGTAGCTAAGCTATGGAACCAACCTAGGTACACTTCAACAGATGAATGGATAAAGAAAATGGGGACATATACACAGCAGAAGATTACTCAGCCACAAAGAAGAACGAAATTATGGCATTTGCCAGTAAGTGGAAGGAAATGGAGACTATATGCTAAATGAATTAAGCCAATCCCCCAAATCCAAAATCAAATGTTCTCTCTGATATGCGGATGCCAACTCACTATAAGCATGGGTGGAGGTTTGAGGGGAGAATAGAAGTTCACAAAGGGGAATAAAGGGAAGGGAGGGGGATGGAAATGGGAAAGACAGTAGAATGAATCRGACGTAACTTTCTCAGGTTTACATGTGAATACACAACCAGTGTAACTCCCCAACATATATAACCGCATAAATGGAAAGTTATACCCCCTGTATGTATATGTCAAAATACATTCTACTGCCATGCATTTATAATTAAAAAGAACAAATACTTTTTTTTAAAATAAAAGATGTCTGAGCTGA